TAAAAGCTAGATTTGGCAATTGTGCCAAAAATGTATATTGCTCATTCTTTTGGCTAAAGCCCGTTGTCTCAAGAACAGAAGATTATGTGAAGATTAAGTGTCCCTTGCTGTATTTCTGGCTCATTACTGTAAGCTCGTGGTCATCATTATTTCTAAAATTGTGTTCAAAAGTTGATTGCTGTCAAAAAATATTGGCCTTCTCTCTTTTGCAACAAAGCGTTGTTACTGCACTGTATGTTGATGACTTTGTGAAATAGAAGTAAAAGAAATAGAAGACAGCAGAATCAGCATCTGTGTTCTGTGTGTGTTTATGTGTGTGTGTGTCTAATGAGAGGGCTGGAGGTCTCAGACTTGCTTGTAATCAGGCCAGTAAATGAATCTAACGGCTTCCTCAGTCATCTCGCCAAAACCACATGTACCATACAAGCCCTGCGTTAGATTTGTGGATGATTTCTCCGCCCAGATACAAACAGACTCTTCACACAGCTGGGAGGTCCAAGGCTCTTTGCACACGATTCCTCTTTAAGAGTCAGTTGGTCCTACAAACCAGGACCAACTGACTGTGCAATAGTTTTGGTTGAGAGTTGTTTGTTGAACATAGATTTTAAAGAAGGCATTGATGTATTTTGCATTTGAATCCTGTTGGGAAAAATCGAAATGACTAATTAGTATGCATTTAATAATTAGTGAATGTTATACATTTAACAGAGGCTCATGTCCTCTGTAGTGTTTAAGGCCTGTGTCCTTGTGTGAACTATCTGGGTCACCAGGCATCTTCAGCAGATGTTTAGTCTATCAAGAAGCAGTTGATTGCCGAAAGAACACTTCAGCTGTTTGTCCTAAATAAGAATGATAATAATGATAATAAACTTGTAGAAAGCGTCAATACTTACGCAGGGCTGATTTGCGACCATGATTTACGAGAAAGTGACCTTTGTACTAGAACGAATTGTTAAAGTGTCCCGATACGTAGACGCCTGCGTGAAACACGAAATGTGTGTGTTACCCTGTGCCAGCCCACTGCATGTTGTTTACTTCGTATAAATACCAGAGACTCGGAGACAGATCTTCGAGCGGTCTTGATGTACATTCTGTATGTGAATCAACCCTGTCTCCTTCTTTGCAAAGAATAAATGTCCATTGATTAATGATTGTTACACCAGTCTCGAGTGAATTTTTCTAACAAATCCTCAAAGCTAACCCCCCAAAAATGACACTATTTTCCCATTTAGTGACCTGTATCCACTTGAACATCTTGACCTGTCAACCAGAACTGAAGTCAGTTATGATCTTGACATACAAACCAGCCAATATTTGCAGGTCAGTAACCTAAAATCTCTAAATGTATCTATACTGCCAATATTCTTTCTTGATGAGGATTAATTGAGACAGAACTAACATTTGCCAAGCTGGTTAAGTTTTTGTTACAAAGGCACAATAGAACAAGGTCCAATAATATCTGTTATCTATGAAGACATAGACGATAATAGAATTAAGAAAAAAAAAACTGCTAAAACTTCTTAGCTTTTCTTGCTAAGATCAACCATCTCCAGCACATAATGTTAGCATTGAAGTTGAAATTAGCTTGGCAATTTAAGTTGGTTCAAACATCAGCAAAAACATTAAAATGATCTCTGTCAAGTAATTGCAAAGAAATGATCTGATGGTGGCATTTACTGAAGTCGGCATTAATTCATTTTTTTTGGCCACAAGCTGCAAAAACACAAGGTTGACATATTATTACATAAAGTTAAAATAACGAACGTGTTGGCCACCTGATGAGCATGTCCGATATTCCCTCTCCTTTTTGCTCTGTTTTGTTCTCTACCAACTCCTGAGGGAGGAATCTGGATCATTAGCTGCTCAAAGTGCCACTATGTTCAGTAAAAGTGTGACGTAAAGAAAAGGTACTTGCCGTAAAATCAAAACAGCTTGCTGAAAACGTGCTAAAATGCTCCGTAGAGCTGAGGGGAACTGTACTGTCAGGTCATAACTCTCTATGGGTTCAGCAACCCCTTTCACAGTTGTTAATATAAAGAAGTATTAAAAGCTGACATAACACAATAAATAACACCAAGTCTCTCATAACCCAGGTCCCAGACTTCTAAATCTTTCTCTATTTTAAGCAGTGTCAATAAACCAAGAAGCAACGCAGAACCATCTCCAAATATTAGCAGTGCTAATACAGACCATAGACAGCAGTGGATACAATTAGAATGAGATTCAAAATAACTTTTGCTGGTTGGACCAGTTCATATCCGAGCTGTAGAATATGTTGTGCTAATGGAGAATCTGTGTGCAGAGGGATGTGATATGCGAGAGGTCCTGAGCTCCTCTGTGTTGCTGTTATGACACTGCAGGGACATTCATTGCAGTTTGTTTTGACTGATGGTTTCCAAGGCAGAGTTTAGATCGGAAGAGAGGAATGGCCAGAGCTTTAATGATTCCACCAGTCAGAGTTTTGTCCTGTTTTTAAATGGCTGCAGAGATAATCCCCCTGACTATGACGCTTTATTAGAAGTAAGTTGTAAACTAACATGAATTACTGTCTTTCTTACAATCCAAATTATTATCTGAGGCTTGAAACCAGATTAGAAATACTTCACAATAATAAACAAATTGAAGCTGCTCTTTTTAAAATGAGATTGTTGTCTACCAGTTTCAACATTTTTTATTATAATGTTTTCGATCCATTTTGCATTGTTCCTCTATATTTAGATCCTTTTAGCTGACCAAATCAGTGAGCCTGGAAGTAGAAAACATTTCATTAGCTATCTGCTATTAAGGACAATGAACACCTCAATGCCTTGCAGTTAATTTAGTCAGTTGTTCCGTCCACTGGGATCTCATGGCCCTTCTGGACCTTCAGTGCCTGCTCTTGCAGCCAGCTTGCAATTCCTGAAAACCTACATCTGTGTCTTCTCAATTGGTTGGGAGACACTAATGAGGGTTCACCAATACCGATTGTGTACTGTACAATATTTCAAATGTGTTTTCATTTATTATACCAATATTGTTACTGCTGATATATCTGTTTCTCATATTTGATCACTGTGCTTTGTATGTCTCTGAAAAGGAAGAATGCCGCAGGAGTCGAGTTTACGCGTGCGAGGACGACCTAACAAAGTCCAGAAAACAAAGGAAAATAGAGAGCAAAATAGAGTTTGTCATGAACAGTAGCTAATGGATAGTAAATGGATGGACTTGTAGTAGCGCTTTTCTAGTCTTCCGACCACTCAGAGCGCTTTAACGCATGGGCCAACTCGGACTGCGAGAAACCTTGGTGTGACCCTGGATGACCAACTGTCATTCTCAGCAAACATTGCATCGGTTACACGCTCCTGCAGATTCCTGCTCTACAACATCAGGAGGATTCGCCCCTTCCTCACTGATGAGACGGCGCAGGTGCTAATCCAGGGTCTTGTCATCTCCCGCCTGAACTACTGCAACTCACTACTTGCCGGAGCACCGGCGTCGGCCATCAGACCTCTGGAGCTTGTCCAGAAAGCTGCAGCTCGCCTGGTGTTCAATCGCCCCAAGTTCTCCCACACAACTTCCCTTCTCCGTTCTCTACACTGGCTACCTGTAAGAGCTCGCATCCAGTTTAAGACTCTGGTGCTAGCCTACAGGGCAGTGAAAGGAACAGCTCCTTCCTATCTCCAGGCCATGGTCAAGCCCTACACCCCGGCCCGACCACTTCACTCTGCTGCCTCGGGGCGATTGGTTGCCCCGTCGCTCAGAGGTCCCTACGGCCGATCGACCCGGTCGCGGCTGGTTTCTGTCCTGGCCCCACAGTGGTGGGATGAACTCCCCACTGACGTCAGGACAGCGGAGTCGCTGCCCATCTTTCACCAGGCTGAAAACTCACCTCTTCAAGAAGACCTACCCTGAGCCTTCCACTTAGCACTTACTTAGCATCTATTGTATTCATACTAGCTTATTGCACTTATTGCATTCTTATTAGTTTGTGGCACTTATTGCATTAGTTTGTTTCTGCACTGTACGTTGGCTCTGGTTTATGCTCTTAGATGCTTGTTTGAAGAAAGGAGATGTACTTATGACTTCTGATGACTAGTTGTTCTCTCGAAAACCGATGTTGAATACACTTATTATAAGTCGCTTTGGATAAAAGCGTCTGCTAAATGACTGTAATGTAATGTAATGTAATGTAATGTCATTCACCCATTCATACACTGATGGCAGGGCTACCACGGAAGGTGCTACCTGCCCATCAGGACTATCTCACCATTCATGTTCTCCTTTATGAATATCACATATATAAAGGAGAACATGCCAGTAGCCATAAAAGACAATGGTCAGAACATTAACCGGTTAAAAAGTTATTTTTATGTAGTGCTGACCTCCATAAAATGTCACAGAGTAGTTAATAATATGCTCTTTCAATTTATTGCCGAAAGTTAAATTGATACCTCTGTCATACCTGTGCTTTATATGATGTTATAGCCAGTTAGCTTAGCTTAGCATAAATACTGGAAACATGGGAAAACAACTAGCCTGGCTCTGTCCAAAGGTAAAAAAGAAAAGAAAAGCCTACCCGCTGTTCTAAAGCTCCCTTATTAACATATTATAACCATGACTCATCATGACTTCATATGTACCCAACAGACTGCCAGCTGGTCGTCATTGGAACAACCAACCTTACATAAACTTTTATAGTGACTCCCCGTCCCTGAAAGGAACTATGTGTTAGTGACTCTGGTATATGTGAGTCCAGACATAGAGCAGGTCGGACCAGACCAGCATCTAAAAGACGTGTTGTCACGCAAAAGATATGAGTTTGGAAACGTATTAGTGTGGACATGGCCTAAAGCACACAGCTGCATCAACAACAACTGTGACCAAGCCCTTCTCACACACACACACACACACACACACACACGCACACACGTTTATCTTTTAAAGTTTTTTTTAATTCAAACTCTCACACACATCAGCACTTAAAGGTGTGGTCAACACAATCAGATAAAAAGTGAGTTGGATTCTGTTTGCAGGTTTTTGACAAAAAAACAAACAACCACAATTTCTGTAAGTGAAGCTACTACTTTTGACTCCCATCATTAGTCGTTGTCAATATTTGTTGTCACAGAGAAATGTGCGTCTCTCCAGAGTCAGTCAGGTCGCTTCCTTCAACAGAATAAACTGTGAGAGGACATCAAGACAAAATACGGCTTGAAAAACAAAATACAGAAATGTTACACACAAACTGTAAGTCAACCAAGATACAAATCCTTTAATGCATCGTTAAAGTCAAATGTCAAGGTAACAAAAATGGCACAGTACTGAAACATCTGCTGCTGGCACATCTGTCCCGTCTGTATTTGCTCCTTCCATTACCTGAATTTAACTCTGACCATATTTAACGGTGAATAATGGCTTGTTTCTGCACTATGCATATTAGATAGCAACTTGTTTGTACTGTACTTAATATAGCTATATACTGTAAAGAACTGTATGGCAACAACGTTTAAACTAACATTATCTATTGTAAGTCTCCCTGACGATGAGGATGAAGAAGATAATCTTCCCTTAAGAGGTTGGTAACGTGTCAAATACTCTTGTTTTCTATCGTAAATATTTACTCAATTGTATGATTACATTTAACATTAAAAAGGGTGTTATGTGAATCACCGTTGTCTCTAGATTGCTTGTATTTCAGGTATTGACAAGTTTCAGCTTGGGTCGACAACACTGGAGAAACCAGCAAGAGTGAGATAGATTTTTGAAAGTATTCAACAGAAAACCCAGCCCAGCGTTGCCAACTGCTGTCCAATAAAGTAGCTTGCAGCACTAGCTCCAAAAGTGGCTAAATGTATCAAGAAAGTCACCATAGGCAAAACTGACAGCCCGTTCGTTCAGGTCTCCCTCCAAAGACACTACCCCAAAATAATCATTATGAATGTCAATAACAAACGTGGCTGTTGTCAAGATAGCAGCTTGTGGAAGACTCCAGAGACGTGCAATGAGTGCACGGGAAGTGTGCTCACAGGTAGGCAGGCGGGTAAGCTGGGGCTTATTACAGTCCTGGGACATGGATTTTTGTACTTATTTTTTGTCAGAGCATTTGGAAAGAGAATTTCAGCAAATATATTAACACATTTTTCTAAAATACATTCTGTTAGCTGTGCAAACCAAATTTCACGTTTAAAGGATGATAGACAACAATTTTCAAATCAAAGTTCAATGTAACAATATTTTGCAAAAAGGGCTTTATTAAATATTAAGAGTTTCAATCGTTTTGTCAGAACATTTTTTTATGGTGTGGCTGTTTAACACTGTGCAGATAACTGAGTCAGACTCTTTCATGACAAAGCTACTGAATTTTGCCATTCATACATGTTTCCTTTACATAACTCAGTTTAACCAGAGCACATTATTCTCTACAGTCAGAAATTAGAGGTTTTGTCACAGTTCCTATTCGGTAATTACACACAGATGTTTAACCCTGGTGAGGCAAAACTTGGAAACAATGCAATGAGAGAGAGAGAGAGAGACCCAAAGGAATGGTGGTATGAGAAATGTTTGGATCAGGGCTTTTGGCATTATGATAAAATAACACAGGATTAGCGCACATTCAAGCTTTGGCATCTTTTGAAGGTAGGTTTTCCTTTCAGTGCCTCCATGTGTATCTACATCTTAAACACATAATGCATTCAAGTCGTAAAGCTGTAGATGCAGGCTGAGTTGTTTGACTTCACTAGTGACGAGTTGGCTAGCAGAACAAAAATCTTAGGTTGAGTCACGTTTTCTTTCTAGATGAAGTTGGCCACTGACATACAGTTACCCTATGTTGTTGCTTATTCAGAGAGTGGATCAGATGTAAATACTTTCAAGCACTCGCAGGCAAAAGACCCAGTCAGATGGCAGCTGTTGGTAGGACATTTTGTTTCCCTCCAATCGTACGATCTTCATCCTGGAGTAGGAGAGAGGTCCCCACTCTCTGCAGAAACTGGTCACATTGAACTCTGCGGTGAACAGACAGAAAATAGACAGGGATTTTAAAACATATACAGACCATATTTCATTGTTATAAACTCATTAATCACAAAAGTGACAGCCATCTGCTTAATGTCGTCTTGTCAAAGCGCTGTAGATACTAAACCAGTGAAGACAGCTTTGATTTCACATCATGTACCATGTGTTGTTCATTATATATTTTTGATAAACTACTGAAATGAAACGCTTTAATCCCATCATGACATTTGCCTTACCAAAGAGGGTCTGTACAGCCTGCAAATGTCTCTCTTCTGCTCACAGAGCTTTCATTTCCTGAAAGTCTTGCAGGTGCTGTGGTGAAAACGGAGGATGAGGAAACCACAACGCCCTCTTTTGCTTTCTCACTTCATTTCAGTAGTAGAGGCTCCCTCGGCCCAGACTGTAGGCTTTGGCAGACAAGAGCTGCGGTAGCAGTCGTTCTGCTAGCTAGACGATGAGGTGTGTGTTATTGTAAAAGTGTTTTGCCGTCTGTCTGTCCCGCTGGTACACAGCCCCTTTGTCTGCTGCTTCACAGATCGAGAACATACTTTCACTTTGCCAGAGCCCATGAGCCAAAATTGCATGCCAGGTCATTGCTGACTGATGGTTGTGTGAGTCAAAAAGGCTACATGTCTGCTGCAATGTTATTAGAATCCTATTGGCCGAAAAAGGCCAGAGCGATGGGAAGCAGAGAGCAGAGAGAGAGAGAGAGGAAAGAGGAGACCATGAAGAGGGGAACAGCATGTGCTTCTGGCTCATCTGGCACTCTTACCTCTGAATCCAGCACAGATGTTTTCATACCACTCTCTGCTAACATACTTTCCCCTCAACCAGCCACACAATATTCCCTCTCCTCCACCCTCCTCTGGCTTCTTGTCTTTCCATGTCTACGATTCGTCCCTCCCCTCCCTTTATTATCTCTCTCCTTCCATATCTAACTTGCCTTGCCTGCTAGCTGCCCAACCCCAATCCCGAGTCCGTATGCAGTGATGAAGGCCGGCTATGTTGGAGGCCTCTGGGGCTGTGCGGGTTTCTCTCCTGTCCCAGTCACATTTTCCGCATTTCTTCTTCTCCCTCACAATATGGTTAAGGTGTCAGACATCTCCAGGTGTTCAACCACATAACTCACTCATACCTTACCTTGCTGTCACAAGAAATGAGTGTTTTGTTGAATTGTAAACTGGAGGAATGTGTGCACATGTGTAGGAAATTAACATTTCACAGACATGAAGTCAGTGAGAAAGTTGACTGCATTTTGTGTCTGTGTGTCTGTGCATGTTTTCTTTGTGTCTGTATGCACCTCACCTTGTATTTCATTGGCCTCCAGGTAGAGGTACTGCAGGGTGGTGGGGACTGTGGGAATGGTTTTAAGTCTGTTATAAGAAAGGTCCAGTTCCACCAAGCTGGAGAAGTTGAAGACCTGCTGGTGGACGTCGCTGCTCTGCAGACCACAGTGACTTAGACGAAGATACTTAAGGTTGAGAAATCCCCCAAAACTGTCTTCACCCAGTCCAGAGAGAGTGTTATTGGACATATAGAGCTGCTGGACAGAAGGGGGTAAATGTCTGGGGACAGCTGAGAACAAATTCCCACCGAGGTCCAGCAGGTTCAGACTTAACAGACCTGCAAGACGAGGGGGAAAAAAAAACCCACACACACTAAATATTAATACTGACAAATTTGTACGACGTATAGAATGTGTTAACATTGTCAATGTTAAATGCCAGCAATGTTCAATGTTAATCAGACTGTTCTGAACAGTCTCAGGGCCAAACAATTACGATTACAAAAACAAATTGACCTTCATCACAGGGCAAATATTTTAAAACTGTCATCTTCACACGTATAGTAAATGGTTCAGGTACTTGTAACAGCTATCATGTTAGTTACAGTAGTAATCAATGACACATCAAAATGCATTCATTGAAATATTAGTACTGACTGCACACAGCAAACTGACGTGTTCTTATGCTTTGCCTTGAAGAAAAGTTGCTCTTTACAGGCTTTTAAATTGTGTTTTATTTGCTTACTTTTGATTTGTAGAACTGTTTTACATTTAGAAGTATCAAATTAAATTATGACAGAGTGTGAGATGTTGTGACACATTACATATTTGAAATTAAATCAAATCACTGTTGAATTAAACAGCTGCTTGACTCCCACCACTAATAACGGTAAAATGAACAGCAACAAAGGGAAAAACATGAAAACGTACTATATGTATGTCTACTGTATTGTCGTTGTTTTTGTACAATGTGAACAGGTACACAAGAGCAGGAGTCTCTCACTTTCCACCCCAATAGATTCTGCATGTGTAAAGAAAGGAAATGACACATTACTCTACCTTTGAGGTCTCCCTCTGTGATGATTTGCAGTCTGTTTCCCTGCAGCAGCAGCAGTGTCAAGTTGTGCAGGTTCTGGAAAGCTGCAGGGCTGATGCTTCTAATTCGGTTGTGGGCCAGTCGCAGCTGCTTGAGTCCAGTTGGTAGAGTGTTTGGCACTGATCTAAGGTGGTTGTGGTTGGCAAAAAAGTAGCTCAGCTGGGTCTGGTTCTGCAGCGAGACCAGATCCTGCAGTTGATTGTGGTCCAGGATGAGCCAGCGTAGAGCGGTAATGTTGGTCAGAAAAGAGGAGGACAAGGACGAGATGTTGTTGCCCTGGGAACAAAAGGAAAAAATGCCGAACGGATTTTGACTTTCATACTTTTACAGTTAGAATTAAACATATACAGTATAGTGCAGCGGAGGTCAGCCACTTTGGGAAGTGTACAATGTGAACAAGAACTGAAAAACCACAGTGGGTTAATAGCAGACCGTTGTAAAGGCAACATGCGCTCAGTTCCCGTGTCAGTTTTTGTTCTACCTGAAGAAACAGGTATTGAGTTCGGTCCGGCAGGCGGTCAGGGGTTTCTGCCAGACCTCTGTGGTCACAGTAGAGCGCCGTGGGCCAGTGGATGGGGCAGTCACACTGTTGAGGGCAGGCTTGGGGGTTGTTGGCTCGAAACCAGGCCGCGTCCATCCGCCCCTGCAGGCTCATCACACTGGGCTCACCCAGCAGGCGATTAATCAACAGAGGAAAACCTCCATAGTCGATGTCAACTACAACAGTGGCTAAGGCAGAGTCGAAAACACACAGCAGCAGCAGCAACACAGCACAGCACAGGAGAGCCATCGAGACAGCTGGTGAGATATGTAACCCTGCAAATTAAACAGAAACAGAAAGACAAAGCAATTTCTACATGTCAGTCAATTTACTAAACATGTCATGATGAGCTTGATTTTATAAGGCTGTGGAAGTTGTATAATGTCTTTTTTGGCTCTATCGAGCTGCATTACGAGAATAAGGGTTTTCATTTTTAATATTAACGACTGTTAGCTAGACATTCACATTTCACTGAGGATGAATCCAAATGACCTGGTTGATCTCATGACTTTACTTCTAGTGCCCCCAGCAGGTCAAAGTTTTTACTTATCCAGTAGAATATATTGAAATCTACCACATGAATTGTCAAGAAATTGAGTACAGATGTCCATGTCCACCTCAGGATGAATTGTAATGACTTTAGTAATCCTGTTGTTTAGACTCTTAATCAATATTCTGTCTCTCGCAAAACCCCCACTTTGCTGCAATGCTCCTTTAAGAAATGATGCAACCCTTGGGCTCTGAAAATCAAGATGAAAAATAGGTCAGTGTGAGGTGTGATGGCTGCCTTTGCACACATACTTCTAACTTCTGAGTATGAGGGGGAAGAATACATAATTTTTCCCTGCATGTACAGCTGTATATGATTACGGTAATACCCACAAAGCTGTCCACAAAAAACACACACTTGCAGACAAACAGACTCTCAGTATGACACAATAGTTAGTGAGAAACGTTTGCCTCACCAGGAAGTTTGACTATCGGCATGTTTGCAATTTTGCAGTCTTACAGTACATGCTAAAACGGTTTCCAAGAGATGAGCAACGTTATGCAATCTCGCCTCATCAAACCAACCGTAATTAAACAGACACACAGATTTGAACTTTTCCAGTTTTGCCTGCCTTGCAGAAGAGAGGAAATGGAAGCAGAGGATAAACCAACAACAGACTGACACTTACCTGTTTGATCAGAATGGAGACAAGCTGTCTTAAATTCCCAATGAAACCCTCGGGAGCTGCATGGAACTTTGGGTGCATGTGCGTGTGTGTTTTCAAGCTACCGGCGATGTTTACCGCTGTCTGATACATTCCTCTTCTTCAAACGCTGCCCACATCCCAGACCCCAGACCTCCTCCATAATCTTCCTCACTTTTTCCTTCTCCCTTCTGTCAGCTCTTGGTTACAGTTGAACCCACAACATTTGGTGGCAACATGTTTGCTTGTACCATGGGAATAAAATACACAAAAAGACTGACAAGAACTGCGGGAAAAGCAAATGACAAGGAAGGAAAATAAATTATGACAACTGGGTTTAGATTCTGATTCTGGGACAGAGTTCTCAGTGAATATGAGAAAGTTTTGATCAGCATTCAAGTATGGTGCATGTGAATGTGTGTGTGCGTGTGAGTCTGGGTCTACAGTATTTGTTCTGTCTGGAGGCATTCAAGACACAAAGTACCTGGGGAGCCAAGGAGACCATTCTCTGTGTGTGTGTTTGTGGGTGTGTTTCCTTGTGTGTGTGAGTGTGTGTGTGTGTGTGTGTGTGTGTGTGTGTAACCTTGTGTGTGACTGTATGTGTTTGACTGTGCGTGTGAGCAAAGCAGAGCAGAGAAAAGACGAATGGTGGAAAACAAGAGGGAAAAGTGAGGACAGTATTTCCCATCAGAGCAAGGACAGAGCGTCCTCTTGGAAAAAGACATGGAATGACAACCACAATGGAGCCTAAATAGTAATGAGTGCCTGTAAGTGTGAGGGGGGGTACAATTTACTAATGTGTTAGTAAATTGTATGTAAAGATAACCTGTAAAGATAAAAGTCATGTTTACAATGTTTACTGAGGTAATAAATCAAGTGAGAAGTATAGGGTCATTTTCTCATAGACTTCTATATAATCCCCAGAGGGTGGCGTCTGGTTACCTCGCCCAAAGTCTAGTGCCTTAACTTATCGTGGCTTAATTAATTGGAATAGTTGCCCAGTTTACACACATCAAACCTACAGCAAATTCTCATTCAATTCTCATTTAATAATGCATTACTTATGCAGCTGATCAATAGCTCAGTGTTAGTAATGTAAATTGTTGTGTTCTTGTTTGGCGGTGATGGCCCTTCAGGCTAATTCATTGACTAATTCTAAGACTAATTAATTAAAAATGATGATGAAGTAAATGAACAAGAAATGTAATGTTAAGAAAATTTGTATGACCGCTTTCCCAATGTAAAACAATTAGAGGTGAACATGAGTTGACCTTTGCATAACACAAATGGGATGTTGCATAAAGTATGTATATGATGGATTTCAGGCCCCAGGAAAACTAGCTGGTACCATTGATATAAGCTAATGAGGATAAATGAATACCGAGTGCACTTTTCTAGTTGTAACTGACTTCTAACTGGTTGAGTGAAGGTTTCTGGAAACACAAGTAAGAGCTGGTACACAGGGTGTCAACAGCAGCCTGTTGGCAGCTCCTCACCATCCTACACACACTCTGATCTGTCCCCGTCAGATTTTCTCAGAAGGAAATGGAAAAGGCGTTCTTCCATCCTCTGCTGGCTCTGATAACTCTGCTCCAGAATAACACCGTTCACTGAAACATTACATGCCCTGCCCATAAACATTCACTCTAACCTCCCAAATCCACACAGGATAGGTGGGTACAGAGATTGAACGGATGGGTGGATAAATAGAGACATTTTCATTTTACTTATAACAAATGAAAGCAGAGGAAGAAGGAAGAAGAGCTAAATGCTAAATTAAAATTTAAGGGGGTGAAGTTTTTGAAGAGAGTCAGACTCAAACGTCAGTGGCTTACAAGCAACAGTTGTGAGATACAAACTGCAGGCTCAAAGAACTGAAGTAAAACCCACATCTATTGTAGTGAGACGCTTACAGGCAGACAGAATCAAAGACAGAATGGGAAAGCCGCACTCTCATAACTCGGATACAGTCACTGATTTCATCTTATAAAGACTGACGCTGCAGCAAACCGCTCTCTTCAGGATAAAACGTAGCAATCACCTGACTGACACTTATACCAATGAAGACAGGTGTGGTCAGGAGAGATCTGAGGGCAATCAGCATGACAAGGAAAGCCACAGCTAAAAACCAACAAGCACAAACTAGAGACAAACAGGATAAGAATCCAAATAGAAACTATCTTTATGCTTACGTTGAATTTAACCAATGAATCCACAAAAATACAAATCTATATCTACACATTAAATGTTTCAGTTCAGTAATTTAAAAGGAGCTAAATTCTAAATTCAGAGCATATCTAGGATTGAGGGATTACCTCCACGTGGCTCTCAACATGACAGCAACTGCCCCGACGGCATCGCAGCTAACGGTGCTAACAGCGCTAATAGTGCGAACAACCGCAACAGTGCTGAGAGAGTAGCAAAGGGGCATTACGCTTCAGCAATGATGCTGTGGGTCAGCATCATTCTAAATAAGTTTTAAGTTAATGTGAAATGGTTTTCCTAGCCCACTACAAAGACCCCTATAATTATTGCAAACACAATACACTAAATGTAACCTATAATACATAACTCTTATTCAAGAGATTGTAATGTCCAAATCTATGGCACAGGAAACAAAAGACAATTTACTTTGAACACCAATTCTGTATGAATGATAATCAGAAGTAATAGCCGCAAGTTTCAAAAACAGCATTAAAACAGTCTCGTTATTGTTGTCAATAGACTACTGATGATGTAAAAGAAGAGCCAAATTGAAGCTGATTATGAGGTCTTAATCTAAGTCTGTGCCATAATGAATGCTTTCATGCCTCCATTATTAGTATTGGCACCAATGTTAAACTAAACCTGTATAAATATACAGTAGCAAGTTTACTTTGAACAGTATGAACAAGAAGTCATCCAGTGACAGCTACACAAAACAAAGATGATGAGACACGCATTATCAACAATAATATGACGTCAATTCTGATGTAACTGCTGAGAAAAGCAATACAACAATACAAAGCATTTCCCAAAGCAGGCATTGCCCTCAGGTGGTTTCCTGTTTGAGGATATGCTGAACCTGCCAGCTCTCAAACAGGTTGTAGGAAATTTTAAGGGCACGCCTAAAGCTGATCCCTGAAAACCACAAATACTCTACACTGACAATGATTCATGCTTCACCTGCACGGCAGAGTGTTCGGCTTTGTTTGGCTTTGTGTCTGAAGACATTTTGAGGAAAAGCTGCGGTGTGCCAACAAAGGCAGGATAGAAGAAGACTGCTTGCAGGAAATCTTTTTCAAAAGTTATGGTGAGTAACACAGAATATAAGCATGATTTCTGTTTATTGTCAAGAAAACTCAACAGGGTACCTTTACGTTAGGTTCAACCTTAACCTTGGAAATAACAGTTGAAAAAACAATCTCATGTTGAGGTCCATTTATTAGCTGTTCTGGAGTTTCATTCATATCACATGATCTTCATCATCAGATGGAAAGTTTGCCAAGTCAGATTTTCACCTTTTCAAAGCAATTTAAAACCTGCAATAACATTTTTTTTTGGCCGTTTGGGGACAGCACTGACATATCAAGTTGACCTACGGTTATTTAAACATCAAGAATAGTGAACCATAGAGCTCTGACCTTAAAACGCTCGTTAGAGCTGAGAAGTACTGCAGAGGCTGTGATTATTATTAAAAACATTGATTGTATAATTATATAATTTTATTACTTTTCATTCATGTTGTCATAATTGTTTGTTTTTGTCTGTGTGTTCGTGTGATTTTTTTGTTTTGTTTTGTTTTAACAGAACTGGACTTGAAGTGAGAGGATATCATTCATTGTTGCCTACATGTTGTTGTTTTAAGCCTTCATTAGTTTCCTCTTCCACCTCAATTGTTCTTCCTCTTCTCATAATTTCACTCACCATCTGCTGACTCAATCTGCCCCTCAACAGTTCTTGTCTTTGACACTAGAGGGCACTGTTTTCTCTGTAATCAACATCACGCACAAGCTTGCACCAGGTTGGGATAAATTAAGGCAAAGGTCTTTGCAAATGTTTATTTTACAATTACACATTGTACAATAAACATTTGCAGTTGTTTAGCTACTACAGAGCAGATGGTCCCTGGCATGGAACTGGTGATGGTTTAGTTACGTGAATGTCTTGGTCACCAGAACACCCTTCAGTGTATTTTCAAGATCTCTTTTTTTTAGCGTCACATAGCAGATGTAACACCAGAATTTAGATTAGACCCAAAATTAAAATAGTTACCAACATACATAAATAACAACCCGCTGCTTTCATCTTTATGAGAAAAAGATGCGAAGCTTGGCATGGTGTAATCATGAACATCTGTGCGTGATTTATATGTGTGTGTGTAGGTGTGTTTGCATGGACATCTGCTTTCTATCACATGGTTTATGCTGCCCCTGTGCCCTGAGGTGCCATGGTTCAAGTTACCTTAAGGAGACACATTGTCCAGGGTCTGCTAAAACTGAATCTTTATCATTTCTACAATTCATTTGTTTCATTCATTCATGTAAATTATGATTAGTGCATCTTCTTTATGAACACGTGTTGTTTGTGTAAGGTTATGAAACTGTTTATGTAATGTTGTGTGTGTAAACTTGTATAAATCACGCTGCACAGACAAAAATCCAGTTACCACAAGGTTCACCATTAAATTGCAGGGTTTAGAGTTGGTTTTGGGTTAAGGTAAGTGTAAGTGTCGGTTGGAGTTATGCAAGTAATTAATATGATTATGGTTATAGTTTGTGTCTCGGAAATGAATGTGTGCTTGTATAATATCCTGTGACAAACAAGTGTTCTGTGTGTTTGAGAGAGAGACAGAGAGAGAGAGAGAGAGAGAGAGAGAGAGAGAGAGAGAGAGAGAGA